ATAAGATGACTGACTCATAGTGGGGTAGGGAGGGAGAGGAATGGAGGAATAGATGAATTCTAGATAGGGAAGAGGGGTGGAAGGGAAAAGGATGGGGCAGGGAATTAGCAAGGATGGTGAAAGGTGATGGACATCATTATCCAAAGAACATGTATGAATACACGAATTGGGTGTGAACTTACTTTATATACAAACAGAAATATGAACAATTGTGATATATATGTGTAATAAGAATTATAATGCAAAAAATAAGTACATGTATAAAGACAGGAATTGGCATGAACATACTCTATATACAAAGATATGAAAAATTGTGCTGTATATGTGTAATAAGAATTGTAATGCATTTGCTGTCCTGTATTTAAAAAAATCAATTAAAAAATTCATTTGGAATCTCATGAGACCCTAAATAGCCAGAATAATCTTAACAAAGAACACGTTAGATGACTCCCACATCTTGGTTTCAAAATTTACTACAATGCTACATTGATTGAGACAGTGTACAGATGGGGACATATAAACCACTGTAACAGAATAGAGAGCTCAAATCAAACCATTCACATAATTTCAACTGATTTTTAACAAAGAGGCTATGGGTAAAATGTAACTTTTTCAACAAATGGTGCTGCAATAAATTGGATATACATATGCAAATTAGTTATGTTGTACCCTTACCTGTATCAGACATACAAATTAACTCAAAATGAATAACATACCTAGAGTTTTAAGGCTCAAGCTTTAAAACTTTTGGCATAAGAACAAAGTTTCATGACATTAGATTTGACATTAACTTCTTTGGTGTGACACCAAAAGAATAGGAAATAAAAGAAAAAATACATTGGACTTCAACAATATTTACAACTTAGTGAATTTCAGTGTTTAAGGTATAATCAAGAGAGTTGAAAAAACAAAGTATGAGAGAAAATATTTGCAAATGATATATATCAAGGGCATTATGTCAAACTCATGGAACTCAAAATAAAAGTAAAGACACTTAATTTAAAACCAAAAAAAAAAAATTCAATAGAAATTTCTCCAAAAGATATATAGAAATGTAAAATAAGAACATATAAGATTGCTCAGTATTTATCAATCATTATGGAAATATAAATAAATATCACAATGGATAACACATCCCATTCATTAGGATAATTTTAAAAACAAACAATAACAAAATGTTGGTAAGGAGATGGAAAAAATTGGAACTGTTGTGCTACTCATGATAATATAAAATGGTGCAGCCACTGTGAAGAATTTGGCTTCTCCTAAAACTACTATTGAATCCAGTAACTTCACTTTTAGATATCAAGGCAAAAATGTGTACAAGTAGGTACTGGGTCAGAAAACTGTATACCATATTTCATCACAGCATTATTCACAAGAGCCAAAAGATGGATATGACTCAAATATCCATCATCAACAGATGAATGGATAAACAAACTGTGGCATATACATGTTCAATCTTAAAAGGAATTCATTTCAAATGCATTCTACCACATGTATGAACCCTGAAAGTATTTTAACTGAAACAAGCCAGATTCATAGGACTACAAGATTTCATTTATCAGTTACCTAGAATAAGAAATTGAAAGAGACAGAAAGTAGAATAACTATTAGCAGTAGGTGAGAAAACAGTGAATCTAGTTACTATTTAACTCAATCAGAGTTTGTTTCTGGGATGTGAGAACATTCTTAAATTGATGGTGATGATGGGTACACAATTTTATGAATGTATTTTATACCTATGAATTTTACACTTGATTAAAATGGTATATTTCTTTGGTATGACCTTAACCTCTATGTATAACTGCAAAGCTCTAATTTAAAAAACATACTAAAAATGTATATTTAATGTTTTCCTTCCCAAGAGTAAAAAAGGAGCAGCGCTCCTTGAGATACAGCTGAGGAAAGGGTTTGGGCAGGATAATTAGAATACAGACCTGGAACATCATACAGTGTCATAAAATAAGAAAGTGATCAAGAAATAAAAGCACACTGAGTAAATATACAATCTCACTTCAGGGAATGTGCAGTGGCAAAACTTGGATAATTTGAATAATATAATAAATAATTATAGCAATGGATTACAACAAAAGAATACATTCAGAAGCTTATATTGATAAATAAAAATAAACTAGAGAGAAGATAGCTGTCCCTTAGAGAATTACATTCAATAAACATGTAATGATGAACATAAAAAAATGGTTGCAGTACTTATCAAAGGTTCATGTGCTCAAAGACTGGTCCCCAGTCTGTGGTGCTGCTGGGAGATGGTGGAACTTTTGAGAAGTAGGGCTAGTGAGAGATATTTAGGTCATTTGAAGTATGTCCTTTCAGGATACATTGGGATACTGGCCCCTTCCTGTCTCTCAGGCTTTTTAATATCTATGAAGTGAATAGGCCTCTTCTGCCCTGAGCTCTTGACACAATGTACTACACATCACTAAAGTCAACCAACTATGGAGTGACACCTCCAAAACTGTGAGCCAGAATAAACCTTTCCTCTTTATCAGTTGATTATCTCGGGTATTTTGTGACAGTGATGGAAAATGGATGAATAATTACCATTAGGGCAAATAAAACATAAACAATTATCATAAGAAGGAAATGTCACTGGATGCTAAAATTAGTGGGCAAAGTGTGATGAATATGCATATGTTTTTATATCTCAAAGAGTTTCCCAATGAGAAATTAATTTTTAAGAAGGGATAAAAATGAAAAAAAATTGAAAGGTATGACCTTAACTCATCAAAGTGATCATCATAAGTAATAAGATGTTTAAATAACACATATCTCTTGAAATGACATTTGGAAAGGGACATATCATCATTTGTGAAGTATTATTGCCCAAAATGCATAAATTTGAACCTAATCACGAGAAAAATAGATTCAAATTGGGATACATCTTACAAAATAAGTCTCCTGTGTCAAGGTCATGAAAAGCAGAAACTCCAATTGATTATAGAGATGCAAGCAATGTAAATATCATATCTTATATTGAATCTTGGTCCTCAAAGGACATTATTAGGAATACTGGCAAAATATGAATAATTTCTACAGTCTAATTAGTTGTATTATAATAATATTAATACCCTAATTTAATAATAATAATAATAATAATGTTATTAAGGTGTTAAAATCAAGATACGTGTAATGAAGGGTATATAGGAATTCTCTTTACAACTTTTGCAATTTTTCTTAATTTAAAAATTATTTAAAAATAGAAAGTTTAAGAATATCAGGTGCCTAAATATAAAGCTAAGTAAAATATCTCTAAGACCTCTATAAATATAGTATTTTAATTGAGGTAAGTTTAAATGAAAATGTATAAACACATACACACAGATACACACACACACACACACACACATATACACACCATACATATAGGACACAAAATAGAAATACAGCATAATCTCCTGCTCCTTTAATTTTTGAGAGAAGCCTTTCTTGACAATCTAATTAATGAAGCACTAACCTCAACCTAGTTACTCTCCAGAGTGGTTTTTCCCCATTTGAACTCCTAGCATGATCCATTTTTCACCCTTATTTGCCCTCTTCCATTGTACCTGCTTAAAATAAAGTTAAACATAAATTCTTATTTTCAGATATTCTTTGGTCATTTGGAATTAGTCTTTTGTAAAGTACCTATTCAAATCGTTTGCCCTTTATTTTGGTTTTGTGTTTTTAAAAATATTCTTAATATGTTATGGGTACTAATTTTGGGGGAGTCAAATCCATTATGATTTTTTTTACCATTCTCTGGGATTATCTTTTTTCCATATGTTTTAATAATTTCTTAATATTTTATAGATTTTTAAATTTTAGTTATACATGATAGTATAATAGAGGAAAGGGGGTAAGGGAGGAGAAGAGGAAGTGAGGAAGTGCTCAGGAGTGATACTGGCCAAACTATATTATTATACTGTGTGTATGTATCAATACATAACAACAAGTCACACCATTATGTAAAGCTGTAATGTATCAACAAAATAATGTAGAAATAAAATAAAATTTAAAAAAATCAAAATTCCTCGAGATGTAAATATTTTAATAATTTTAATTTATCATTAAAGTCTTTAGAAAACAAATAGAAATGCATATAAATAGAGAGCTACACTACTATGTTCCACTTTCACTCCTTGTTATTTCTAGCCTTTTCTTTATCCTTATCTGTGCTACACTGATACACAATACCACTATTGTCAAAGTTTCCATCTGGAAGTAATTTATTTATTAAATTTTTATTGTATTTTCTAAAACAATTTTAATACATTTTGTCAAATTCCATATAGTTAAACAAAAACAATAGAAGAAAAAAGTAATAAAGCAAAATCTAACCAAACAAAAGTAAAAAGAACATTTGGTGCTCCATTATATGAAAAGATTTTTAATCTAACTTGGATAAACAGGAGAACAAATTTAAAAAGATGAAAAAAAAGGTACTGACTTAGCAATATTAATAATAGGAAGATTTTAAGACTAGAAATTAACTGACCCATTCCTCTATAATAAAGATGAAGACAGATGAATGTCAGAGAGTGACTAAGAACCTTTAGTGCTAGTATCAAAAGTCAGAAAAAAATATAATAAAATAATTAAAATACTTATTTCTAAAAGGAAAAAAACCCACAAAATTCCCTACCTACTCTAGACTACACAAAATTAAACTCACTGATAACAGTTTCTAAGATATATCATTTGGTTATATCTAGGGTAAATAATTGTAAAGTAATTTATAACTATTATCTTTGTTTCTTCCCAGATAACTGCCTAAAGCCATTGAACCTTTGCTGTCATAGTAATACCAAGGTCAAAATTAAGCCAGCTTTTTTCCTTTATATCTTAGATTCACACAGCCTCATCAAACATACTACCTTGAATAATTTTAAAAAATATACAGCTGACAATAAAAAAAAACTGATAGACATTCACTTAGGCATAATGAAATAAGTGAATTTTTATCAATATACAACATGAAATCATAGTTCATTACATACCACAGCATTCAGGACATTTTGGATGCTTCAGGGTATTCATTCCATACCCTGGAAAGCAGCGATTGATCCAAACCATTTGGAGAGTACCTTCAATGTAGTATATTTCAGGCAATGGATCTGAACGTCTGCCTAGAACTTCTACTTGTTGATTGAAAAATCTCTCTATGAGATTTTTAGCCTAAAATAAAAATAAAATATGAAAAAATATTAGTCAAAAATAAATGTAATTTTAGAACAGAGAAGACAGAGGCAGGATAAAACAGCCTCGGGTGTTTATTTTATCTTGCACTCATAGGATATGAATACAATAATAACACATGTAAAACTAAAAAGATGTCACCTATATGCCTCCAATATTTCCAAAGGTACTTTCTTAAATAACATAAAGAGACCATTTGAATATATAATCAAACATTTTGTTCTCTTTGAATTTTTAGTAGCACGTAGAAAACATCAGAGAAAAATCAAGATAGTGGCTTGAAATTGAATGTATTCTATAAAATTAAACATAAAGGAATATATTTTAAGAATCATTAAGAAGAATATTCTCTGGCACCCCCTTCACTCTTTTCAAAAAGAAAATTAGGTTTAAAAACAAGAGAAAATGCAACACCTATTACAATCTTTAAGTCTGCATCTAAAAAATAAGTTTATAAAATACTCAGGAGATCATTCTGTTCTATAATTACCTTTATGTTTGTAATGTATTCTAGCTTAACTCATAAATCAAAAACAAGATTATACTTTTCTATGAGTGATAAGATCTGGACAAAAATAACATGAAGCATGGTTATGATTCAAACCCTCTATAGTTAGTTCTCCTCCATTCTGCCACACTAACTTTCACCCACAGTCCAGTCAGAAGCAGTTCTCCTCCATTCTGCCACACTAACTTTCACCCACAGTCCAGACAGAAGCACAGAGAACAGGTTCATCTATAACCACTAGTGGTACACTTCAACTTTTCTGAGTTCTTTAAATATTTTGTAAAGTATATACTTCCATGAAAACTTCTATAATAACAAATAGTTTTTCAACATACTAAACTGATTGTAAATATACAAGTCTTTTCTATTACTCAATTACTTCATAGCTTTTCACTGTTTAAATGTTATTTTTGTTATTCTGATAATATGGGGGAAATCCATTGATTTTTACTTGATCAAACACAAATTTTATTTAAATACATAGTTAAGAATAGATGTGAATGCTTATTTAACTAATTATATTTAAATGTGAAAATATAATTTGTAAGTTTCATAGAGACACATTCATAAATCATTCAGCTTCCTAAAATCCTATACGAAAAAGAAAAAGAAAAAAAATTAAAGAAAAAAGAAACATCAATGAACTGATAGGTGTGGTAGTGCAAGTCTGAAATTCCAGTATAATAGCAACTCAGGAGGCTGAGGCAGAAAGATCACAAGTTCAAGGCCAGCATCTGCAACTTAGCAAGACCTTCAGAAACTTAAAAAGGACCTACCAAAAAATTTTAAAATAAGATGGACTAGGGATGTAGTTCAGTGATAAAGCACTCCTAGATTCAAGTCCCAGTACCAAAAGCAAAATAAAGCAATGATCTTAGAATTGAGAAAATCTGGTAGATAAAAATATAAGAGTATTGTTCCCTATTTTCCCTCTAAAAGGAAGAGGAGGATAAATCTCCCAATATAAATGAAAAGAAGGTCATAAATTTTGTAAATCACTAACTTAAAATTTTTATATTGAGTAGGGTTAATAATTAGGACCTGAAATTATTAGGACATAGGGTTAGCAAGCAGTACAGCTGAAGAAGTCTATGAGTTGGATAAGGATTCCAAATGCAAAAATAAATTTACTAAACCAATCTGGATTATTTAAGAACATAATTATAAAACAATCTCAATAAACTAGTAATCTTATTTAAGTGATAATGAATATGACTAAATAAACAAGAGATTTACCAGTCCACTCTATTCCTCTTGCTACCCCCAAGAAACTTTATAGAAACATATATAAAAAGAATATGTTCTACAACAACTGGTCAATAATCACAGGTCTGAAAAAGCAACTGCTACTATTTCAAAAGTGAGCAGTAGTTAAAACATGTGCTTTTGTATGGAGAAGTTGAACAACTAATATTAAATACCATAATCTTCCACTGGCCATGCCAAGTATAGACAGTAAATAAAATTTTAACTAGAAAGGTTTCAGTATTTACTCTAGTTTTGTCAAACCAACTTAGAAGACAACTACCTACTTCTGGGTAGGGAACAAATTATACATTATACAAGATCAGAGTCTAACTTGAGTTATAATTCCACTGAGTGAGAACTAATATACACAAGATTTACAAATATTAAACCTATATAGGAGTCCTTTGGACACCTTTGCATAATTCCTATATTTGGGAATTCCTGGGGAAAAATGATTATATATCTCCAAGTGTGATCAGAATTAATACTAAAAAGTAAAAAGAAGGGGAAGTTTAAAGGTGTCTTGTAAGAATAAAAAAGATATGTAAATTTTCATAAAATAAAACAAATGACCTTGATTCTCAGGAAATGAATGAGAGGTAATATGTCCAGATATAAAATGTCTCAATGGAGAACTGCAGAAAACAATTATAAAAACTCAAAATTGTCTCTTTCATGTTAGAAACATCAGAACAGGGCTAATGTGCTCAATTATGAGTGAATCAGGCAGAGATCTATGAGACAGAGGTAAGTTTAAAAGCCGAACCAAAAATTTGATGAAGAAAATAAAGGGTTATAAAACAACTTTAATTTTGTGAAAGTTAGAATCTACTCCTATCAAGTATAATAAGTACTACAGGATTTGAGGAAAGAAAACTTCCACATTATAATGTGGGGACTACAAAATCCTGAAGCAAAAAACAGAATCCAATCTTTACCAATGGATGCCACTGAAGTGGTGGTTGTTGCACATGAACTGAAACTTGCATTTTAAAAAAAGGCACTTAAGAAGAAAAAATTTTTTAAAAAAAATATTATTTATATTTTGTAATGATTAGATATCTAAGCTGATGTATTAACATTTTTTAGTAATATATTGCTCATCAAAATAGATAAGGAGTGAACATGGAGAAAAATATTTTAAAATACAGGTACTTCCATTTCTAACTAGGTGGTATATCATGTATTTTGAGAAATCTTTGTGCTAAAAATGACCTATTTGAACACAACAGAACAATCTTGTGTAGACATATTTCTACAAAGAAATAGAAAGAGGAAAGATAGAATATAAGAAGGCAGGAAGGGAAAAAGAAAGGGAGGGAGGTATGGAAAAAGAAGTAGAAAGCAAGATAAAGAGGAAGAAAAAGACTTAAGAGCTATAAATGAGAAGAAAACTACAAACCTAATAGTAGCTGTGTCCCTAATTCATTTGATGTCAATCTCAGTATTCCAAGGTGTTACAATTTTATCAGCCTAAAGAAAAACGGAGAAAAGCCTTAAGCCTGTAAAAAGAGAGTAAGACTCTAAGTAAAACAGTGGACATGGAAATTTTTTCAGTTACAAAATTGGGGGGAAAAAAGGAAAGCTTCTTGGTGTCAGCTGGGGTGTAGGATGGTGAAGGAGGAGGTGGAGGAAAGGTGAAAAATAGAGGGATAAGGGAACCAAAAACACCTCTGTAGATTCCTACATAATTGTCTGCTTTCAAGTAGATTTGAAGTTTTTCTAACAGAAATTCTAGGCCAAAAAATTTACATAAAAATTGCCTTTGCTTGAGAACAACCCTGGAGCACTAGAAAAACAGGAACATGGACACTTGATGAAACTGTACAGAAATATACACATGCCTAGACCAAACCAGCTATCTAGCAATAGAAGTCTAATACTCATGACTTCATCCAACTGAATTATGAAGAACATGATAAAATGAAGAAATAATCAGAGACAACAAACAGCCAGATTAATACCAGATAATGAAATGTAAGTTTTATAAAAATGATGTAAAGCATGTTCTAAATATAGACATAAAAATGGAATAAAAACATGAAAAAGTAAAATTATATCATAAAAGAGAAAAAAGTATATATTAACAACAACAACAACAAAAAATCTGCTTGAACTACAAATAGTGAATGGAATGAAATTAAAAATTCAATGGACTAACTGGGTACAGTGGTACACACTTGTAATTCCAGCTTTAATGATCTCCCTTTTACTTTCATCACAGGGCAAAGTGAAAAGAAAAGGGAAGTACTAGGAAATAAAACTGAACAAATTATGTTGTATACATGAATAATGAATATGTAACAACAAATGGCACTATATATACAATTATAATGCATCAAAATGATCTTAATAATGAATAAAAATAAAAATTCTAAAATAATAAATTTACCTGAAGAAAATTCTTCAAAAAATTCAATGGACAGATTAAACAAAAGTAGGTCCAAATGAGCTAAAATAATAAAATGCAAGAACTATGTGAAAATTTTTTTCAGAATGCAAAACATAACTAGGAAAAAACCATAGAATAGTATAAGAGAGATGGAGCAATCAATAGACAATTCAAAATAAAATGATTAGAAATTCCAGAAAGGCAAATGGTGAAAAGGCAATTTAAAAAGGACTCTGGCTGAAATTCTTCTTGAACTGAGGAGAGCAATTTTTCTGCAGAAATAGGAAGCATGATAAATTCTAAAAGATAATGACTAGAAAACAAAGGACCTGAATGCAAGAAGGAAAGAAAAGCAAATAAACACATAAAATTGTGGTTTAATACAAGAAGTCAATGACCTACTGAAATAACTTTGATATCAGATAGAAAAAAATCAATAAAATAGAACTAAAATACTGGAAAACAACAATTAAAGAAGAAATCAGATCACGAGTTAAAAAAGGCATTTAAATTCCTTGCATTTTTTAGGAGGATAAAATAAACTAACAGTACTACTGTCAAGTATATTTGTTAAAACAAAGCCAAACCATTTAAAGAGTAAAAAAAAAACCTGTAAAGCACAGAAAAATAAGGGAAAATTTTATTTTAGATCCATACAAACAAAAATAGTTAACACAAAGAACAGAAAACCACAGTAAATGATATGTAATAGAATGGTAAAAATCAGTCCACATAAGTATGACTTATTGAGACCTTGTCTCTAAATAAAAAATAAAATGAAAGGCTCAGTGGTTAAGCACCCCAGGGTTCAATCCCAAGTACAAAAATAAT